CTCAGGCCTGAGCCTGATCCCTGAGGGAGCAGGTGGGTGTGTGAGGCAGGACTACTGTGGGGTGCATCCGGACAGCAAGTCATGCAAATCCAGAGCCACTGTGCAGGGCTCTCTCTGTCTCTCTCTCCCTCTCTCTCTCTCCCTCTCTCTCTCTCTCTCATACACACACTCCGGAACTCCACGGGTCACCCCAGACACTGGGATTCTCACATCCACTTTGCAGAGGTGCAAGTCAGGCAGAGAGAGAATGAGAAAGAGGAGAATGAACCCCAGGTCTGTCTGTGGACCCTTACAGTCTACGTCTCTCCCAGGGGCATGTTGACATGGAAACATCTGTAGAGAACATTCCAGAATTCTGGGGACCTGGGTTCAGAATGCCTCAGCTTTCCCAGTCTCTCATCCTCCATGTCCTTCCGCTGGGGTGACAGAAGTGGCTGCTTTCCTCCACCCTGACGAACCCCTTTGTTCAGAAGTCCTGAGGTTACCAGCTATTCTGACATCACCTTCAGTCTCTCTCGAAGTACCTCGGTGCTCCATTCCCCAGGGATAATGGCTACCCCTCTAGAGTAGAGGGGAGAAGAGGCCCTGAGGCACCCCAAAAGGCCCCTGGACAGAAAGAGGTGCTCTCCACCAACTGCCTGTCATAATGCAAGTATGGAACGAGGACACTGGCAGCAACTCCATCCATCACACAATGTCACCAGGCTTCCCAGCTCCTGTCTTTCCTGAGTAAAAATCCAGCAAGATGGTGCCCCCACAGCCTTGACAAGGGTAGAATGACTGGACTTGGTTGTGGGCAGGACCTTGCAGAGACGTGGGCAGGAGCCCCTTGTGGGCCACATGTGGTACAGGCTCATCTCTGGGACACACCTACCACACCCCACTTCTTAGGTTCTGCCCCCAGGCTGATTTCATTCCAATTATCCAGGCATGGCGCTGGCTCTGCTGAAGGCTCTCCTTTCCAGAACCAAGACTTTCTTTGCTTTCAGCGTGTCTGCTAAGAACCGGCTCAGCCTCCACCTGCCACTTTATTTCTTCAGGTATGTGGCTGAGTGTTAAAGAAAGACCAGAACCTTCACTGCCTCCATTCCCAGCAGAACTGAAAATTGATTTCATCATTTTCTTCAGGCTAAGAGGGTGACCAAGAATGATGGATTTATTTCTCTGCACAAGAGAGGACACCCAAACAGTGCTCAAGAGGCCTTTGGGCCCCACGGGCAATACTCAGTCAAGCAGCCCAGCAATATTTGGGGGAACCATGTGCTACTATGGATCAAACTTGGGCTGGGGGCCTGCCAGGCACAGCATGCACTATAGCAGCTGTCCAAATTCCTGGTCCAAATGACAGGATTATAAGGCACAAGTGATTATAAAGCTCCGAGTGATACCACAAAGGGTAGGCAGCAAGGGAGGGAGAGGGAACATCAGACTCTGACCTTGGTGGGAGGTGGGATGAAGGCCAGGGCAGAGCTGCAGCTGTCACTCTGCTGTGTTCCTGAGGAGATGGACCCCAAGGTTAAGGGCCTCATGTTGGGAGCCAGGCTCCTCCCGTTTCCCTTCTGTGGCCACCGTGGTCTCACGCACACGCCCAGCCAGATTTGCCTTTGCCCCGGCCTTGCAACCTTTGTGAAGCTCAACAGGACACCAGGTGGATGGTTAGCAAATTGTGGAGCAACTGATGATCTAAAAATAAGACCAGAACCCCAAGACCCTAGCCCATCTGAGCTGGCTCAACTTTTCCCTGCCCCCATGGGTCCCCCTGATGCCTGGAGAACCCTTTCTTCCTCCATCTCTACGTGGTCTGGGTGATGCTCCGTCAAGACAGTTTGTGTGTGAGATTTAATGACTCGGAGCAATGGGCCCAGAGAGCTGGGGCAGAGGGGAAGGTGCTTGCCTCGCATGTGGCCAACCCAGGTTACATCCCAGGCACCACATAGGATGTACGTCCAAGAACCTACGCACCTCTGCTAACAGCTGCTGCTGGGCCCCACGTGAGGGTACCACGAAAGGCAGGTGCTAAATGGAGGCCTTTGGTTGGGACTCAACAATCTAAAGATATTCCTGTTACTGACTGCATACTGCAGCCCTTCCTGCCACCCCCCATCCCTAGGAGAGGTTCCTGAGTCCAGAGTCAGAATTAAGCCCTGAGCACTGCTTGGTAGGAACCCCGCTACCCCATCCAGAAAGAGAGAGAGACAGACAGACAGACATAAGAGGAAACAGTTGAAGTCAGTGTCACATTGCTTTAGATTTGACTCAACACCTGCTGCAAATTGCTCAAGGCTTCTCTCCCTCAGAACACATACCCTGGCTCAGGCTCAACCTCATGGAATCACAAGTGTCCCTCAGTCCTGACTGGGAGGCTACCCCTGCAGAGAACTGCAGTCCCAAGTCTGCCAGGACCCTGCCCTTTGCTCCTCTTCATCCTAATGCCCATGTCATCCTAGTGCTCAGCAGTATTTTCCTTAGCGTTCCTCTCCAGCACAACTCTTTGGAGTGAAGCTCCTTGCTTCTCTGTGCCATAAGCCCCACTGCCATTCAAATCAATGAAGCATCAGTGAGGCCACTGAGGCACCTGTTCTATTTACTCAGGTGCCTCCAGTGGTGGCATGTATGGAACCCAGCAGACATGACTCAGAATTGGCACAGTACATCCCAGAACCTACTCAGCTCTGCTGACAGCTGCTGCTGGGCCCCATGTGAGGGTACCATGAAGGGAGGTGCTAAATGGAGGCCTTTGGTTGGGACTCAACAATCTAAAGATATCCGTGTCACTGACTGCATATCGCAGCCCTTTCTGCCACTCACAGCTGAGGGGTGGCAATTACTTCCCCCATTTTACAGACGTTCAGCAAAGCTGTGGCACAGGACTGTCTCCATCTCATCTCCAGAAGGAGGCCAGGCCAACCAGAACCAACTGGGTGGCTTAGCAGAGCCAGAAGTACTAGAAAACATTAGCCTGCCTTGAGGTTACTGGTCCCTCCGAGCCCCCAAGCCTCCTGTGAAAATGAAGACTGTCAGCCTTCACCCTCAGCCACTTGCAGGGTGGAGAAAGTCATGGCAAGCACCAGAAATAATCAGTCATCACCATGCCACACCTCCCCAAAACACACATTCCTCCCCATCAGCCTTTAGCACATGCTTGTTCTCTCAAGGTAACCTCTTCGGGGAGTTCCAGATTTGCTCTGCTTTGCTTTTACCACAGACGCTTAGTAGAGAACAATGTCAATCAAGCACATAATGGAAGTGGGCACCCAGAGGAGAGTTGGGACGTGTTTGTTTATTCTCTGCATTGCCCCCAGGTTCTGAGAATAGTTAGCACATTGGGGTTTGAGGAGTCCACGTGCTGCTAACTTCCATGCCGCTCTATTGCTAACTCCCCGTCCCTCACACATACACGCACGCACGTACACACACACTCTATATGATTCAACAGGGAGGCGGGGCTTCAATTCTGGATCCAGAAAACCCTCCCCATCTTCACATAGTGGTGCAAGTCCAGACTCACATATAAGACTCTTTCCCACAACAGCAGCTGTTTTCTTGCTCTAACATAGCATAGGGACCCCAAAGTGGATATCCTGGATACCTCGAAGCTTCCAGGATACAGTGGTTGGAGGAGGTATAGCTTCTTCACGAGCTGGCCCAGAACCGCCTTGTCCATGTGCTGCTAACTTCCATGCTGCTCTATTGCGAACTCCCCCTCTCTCACACATATACACACGCACACACACACACACACACACACACACACACACACACTATATGATTCAACAGGGAGGCAGGGCTTCAATTCTGGATCCAGAAAACCCTCCCCATCTTCACATAGTGGTGCAATTCCAGACTCACATTATAAGTCACACTGGTTGTGCTACCAATGGTTCAAAGCATGCCGTCAACTGTCACCATGACTTTGCCATTACTACTCAGTGCATTGACTAAGGGACACTGACTTAGCAGCTTGGGGAGTCAGGAACAGGAACTGAGTAAGTGCCGTGTAGCAGGGACCTTGGATCCCATAGAGGCCCACGCACAAACAGGAAGTTGAGCGACTAAGGAGAGTACCTCATTGAACTGGTTCTCTCAGTGTTGAGAACTGGGACATAAGACACAGTCCGGCTTCAAGAGCTGGTGACTGTTTCAGTGTGAGGACAGGATAGGATAAAAACCTCTCCTCTGCCCTGGGTCTGCAAGAAACCTGTGATTTACTGAAGACAAGCGGGAATGAGTCTGTGATTAAAGGTGAGTCATGGGATCGAGGTAGCAAGCTGGAAAGTCCCGTGCTCTGCATGTTAGGAAGACACAGCATCTAAATGGTGCATAGGGAGACTGCAGTGTCATGGAAGAGACTTTCCAACCTGGAGGAAACTGAGCCTGCAACTGGGCATTTACGATCTCTTCCCAACAACAATCAAAGAGACTTTCTGTGGCACCGGGGGTGAGTTAAGACTGGGATAGAAGCTCTGGCTGGCATCTCTGTAGTCAGTCTACACTAATGCCAGCTCCTAGCACCACCTTTCCCAGGCCAGGCCCTTCATCATGAGAAGGTCAGAACACATCTAAGTGAGCTACCTCACATGCAAGCAAGGCCCCCAGAGCTTAGGACTGGTGCATTTGAGAGCGTGGTACCCACACAGTTGTGCCAGCCTGCAAAAGAGCCTGGAGTCCCACAATTCTGTTTCGCGAATTGTGGAACCATGCAGACATTCCTGAGCCAACTTAGAATGAGTCTCATTCCAATGCACACTAGTGAAGGGACAGGTATTGGAACATTGTGTGACTGAAACCCAAATCATAAACAACTTTGTGTAGCTCATGGTGATTTAAAAATAATAATAATAAAATGAATATGTCCCATTCTCCAAAGGGATGTGGGTGCTCTTTTTCATGCCCTGAAACTCCCCACCCTCGACTCCACCCATATTTCATAAGGCTCATGCTCCTGCCACCCTGGCCAATGCAGCCATCGCCAGCACTGACTCTTTCGCTTTTTCTTTCAGGTCCTGCAGCAAAAAAGAAGTACGTGAGTTACAACAACCTGGTGATCTAACCTGGTCCGTTCCACGGAGCCCGGAGCAGGCAGAGCCTCCTTTCCTGCGTCATGCAACCTGACACAGGACACTTGGGGTCTTGTCTGCCACCCATCCACCAGGGGCGCTTCCCCAGCCGGGAGACCAGTGTTAGAGCATCCAAGGGTCCTGCAGCTGCTCTCAGAAATAGTCTCACTTGCTCTCGGCTTCCTGAGTCACTGGCATCAGCGCTGCCATCTCAGCTGCCATTCTGGTCCTTCCCTCCCCAAGGGAGACTCGAGACTCCAGCGCCCCCCCCCCAGCTCTTTGGAAGGCAGCACGGGGGGGCCACCACAGCCATCCCTGGGGCTGATCTGTCGTTCCGTGTCTGTACTTCCAGGCGGCAAGGTTTCAAAGTGTTCTGTACAGTTCGTGAGGACTTTTGCACTTGGCCATCATGTTGTACCTCGGTTCACTGTTTTGTTTCCGAATGCCCTGTTTCCATAGAGCCTGGTTCTCTCCGGCGGCCAAATATTGGGGGAGATTTGAGAGTAACAGTTCACAGAGATGGCGCAGACTCAAGTAAACACCCCTGAGTTCAGGACTGTCTGCTTCAGATAAAACGCTGCTGCAAATCATATTCTTCTTCTCCTTCTTCTTCTTCTTCTTCTCCTCCTCCTCCTCCTCCTCCTTCTTCTTCTTTTAAGACACAAAAAGATGTTTAAAGACCAAAAACTGTGCTGAGAGAGTCACCTCCCCCACCCCACTTTCTGGTTGCTCGAAGGTCCAAAATGGGCGGAATTGAATCGAGGGCTTGGGCTTGGACATATTCATATGCATGCCGGTAATGTATTTCACAGTGCACTGATCACTTCCGTTCGATATTTGTATTTGTGTTCTCTTTCGTTATTTTAATTAGGGTATATGGATATTTTGCAATAATTTTAAGAATTATTAAGCTATTTGAAGAAAAGAATATGGATTTTTCATGTCTTGAGGTTCTGTTCATGTGCCCTCCTCCCCACGACTGACCAGTGTGATGAGGACTTTAAAAAAAAAAGGGGAAAAAAAGCATGTATGTTTTTTACTGTTTGTAATAAGTACTTTCCTTAATCTTGCTGCTTCCGTGCCAATTTAGTGGGAAGACAACCCTTGCTGAAAAAGCCCCTTTCCATTCTCTTTCAACTCTGTGATATTGTCCACGAATGTATCAATAAAATACTTTGGTTAACTTTTTTATTTCCTGCAATAAATATTTTTAGTTGTTTATCCCCTTTCAGTTACAGTTTATTTCCTCAAGCCAGAAGGCAGGGATTGAGTTGTATCCCTGGCCCGCACACACTTCTAACGCCTTCTGGGAAATGTGTTGCAGAAGCCCTGTGGCATGAGGCCCCAAGAAAAGGTGAAATCACCATGCCTGGCATTGTCTGCTCCATAATTACCAGTGAGACCTGGTGAGTTACCTGTCAAAGCTAGCAAGGATGGCAGACAAAAGAGAACATAAACAAGACAGGCTCATATTAATAAACAGCAGTCTGGGGGAGTTTGGTGAGAAGATGAATATCTTCCAAACCTTAATCAGGGGACCCAACATTGCACGGGTAATGACTGTGAAGCATTTACTTATTTTTGCAAACAATTACGGAGCCATAGTCATGTCAAGCTTAAGACTTGGGCATTCCAAAATCCAACATGACTTAACTCAGAGTTACGACCACAAAGTTCCCTTTGCAGAGGACAATTTGGGTCCTGAACCCCGAAATCCAAAACACATTTCAATGACTGATTATGAACCAAACTGAAACCTGTTTTTAGCTGTCTCATCCCCACCATTGGCTCCTGCCCACTTCCCCTCATGTGCCTCAACTTTCTTGACCCAGGCAATCTTTGTCCATAACCCTGAATCTCACTTTACTCTCAGACTGAGCAGAAACAAAGACGATCTATCTTCAAATCCGGCCCCTTTCCAAACCCCTCTTCAGCAGACAATGGAGCAGAGACCCATATTCAAGCAAGAAGAGAGTCTAAGTGACCCATGACCTCAAGCCAGGTAACCTAGTAGATATACCAGCTTGCTGTCCCTTGGGAAGTTCTGCCCACATTCTCTTCTTTCTCTGCTGGAAACCAGCTGATGCTGTCACCTAACTGCTAGGCTAGGAACAAAGAGCTTAGGAGAGTTACCTTGCCTTAAGGGAGCACTGTGAGACCATTGCCAACCCCTCCCCTCCCCACCTGCTCCCAAGAGCCTCCACACAACGCTGTGCTACTACCCCTTCTGGAGGGAGAAGCAAAACCTGTGCAATCTCAGCCCATGGGCAGACCAGGTGGCATTCTGATCACCATGAAGAAGTTCCTTCATTCACAGCAGGGACAGAAGGACACCTTTATCATTATCCCATAGCAGTTCTCTTCTGGATGGAAAGAACAATTGCCAAACACCTCTGCCCTTCCCCGTGAACCCCAGGGCAGGGTTTCAGGATAAGCAGAAAAGCAAAATTCTCAAGGTTTTCGGAATCACTGGGGCCTGTGGGATGACTGTTAGCACTTCAGACACGCTGTAGACATCCTAAGCACTGTTCTGTATGTTCTCTTGTCCTATCCTCAAAATGCAGTTCTGGCCATGTGATGCTACATGACGTCTGAATGAGCACAGCACAGGGAAGCACAGCTGACCAGCTGACCCACTATGCTCAGGCTAGCTAGGCTTGCTGGGGTCCCACGTTCCTTCAGTGGGAATCAGGGATGGATTTGCCTCTTCACTCAGTCAAGCCGCTCTCCTCATCTTTGCGGTGAATGGAGTTCTACGGGATCTAACATGCTCACACTGCCTCACGTAGTTCCCCAACTCGCTGCTGGAGAGGCAGGCAGGGCATCCAAAAGATCTTTCTGGGACACCAACAGGCCAGACCCAGAGCCCAATGACGCTTCAAACTTTGTTTCTACAAACAAAGCAAAAGGTTCCAGAGGCCTCACTCATCCCCAAACCCACCTGTCCACTCCAGGGTGATGCCCGCATGTTCCCCCAAGAATCTGTCTTTCCATGAAACTTGATTTACCTGAAGGTGCCTCTGTTGTCTGCTTAGACCCTAGCGCCCTTATCTATTCTCTACCCTCCAAACTCCTTCCCCAATTCTCATCTAAACCACTGAACATTCTGGAAAAGGACAGATGGGAGCATAGGGCCTGTCTGCCTGGGCTGTGGGTGGTGTTTATGGGCTACCCAGGACCACCTGACGTCAAGACAAATTACAAAAGCAATTCTTTCAGGTAAATTTGGGGGTGATCATTTCTCCATTTAGAAACCTTGCAGATGGGGCTGGAGTGATAGCACAGTGGATAGGGTGTTTGCCTTGCACGCAGCTGACCTGGGTTCAATTCCCAGCATCCCATATGGTCCCCCAAGCACACAGTAAACCCCTGTGCATTGCCAGGTGTGACCCAAACAGCAAAAAAAAAAAAAGAAAGAAATCCCGCAGATGGCAGGAACCAACACCCTGCTATTTCTTTTCTATCTTTTCTATTTCTTTTCTTGCTCGATAAAAATACATGAAGACCACAACACCCAATAAGAGAGAGAGAACAAAAGGGAATGCCCTGCCACAGAGGCAGGGTGGGATGGGAGGGATACTGGGATCCATGGTGGTGGGAAATGGGCATTGGTGGAGGGATGGGTATTTGATCATTGTATAATTGAAACCCAAGCACAAAAATTTGTAAGTCTACAACTGTACCTCATGATGTCTCACTAATAAAAATTAAAAAAAAAAATACATGAAGAAATCAGGCCAGAGTCTGCCGCACCCATGAAAGAAGCTGCTTCTCTCTGGGCCCATCACAGCACAAGACGAAAGAACACAGCCCAGTTCCCAAGGAATGTGGGGGTTCTCAGCCTCTGTCTCAACCTCCGTCCCCCTCTCTGGGCAGCTGTCATCAGTTTACTCTGGGATCCCACCAGCGAGACAGTACAGTAGGTAAAGAGCTCGCCTTTCACTTGGCCAGTTCAAGTTTGATCTTTGGCATCCCATATGGTACCCTGAGCACTGCCAGGAGTGATCCTGGAGCCCAGAGCCAGCAATAAACTCTGAGCACCACCAGCGATGACGCAAAAACAAAAGAAAATTAGGATCAATTCTTTGGCGGTGACTCATGCCTGAGTAAGAATCTCTCGGAGCAACCAAAAAGGAGAGATTGGTTTTTACTCCAATCAAGCATGACAGGGGTGAACCACCCCTGGATGAGGCTCCCCCGATGTCAGCACTCAGAAGCGCTACTTCATCAGAAGCTCCCAAACCCAAAGCCGGGCCAGCCCCCCTAATATGGATGCACACGGGAAGCTCAGTGCTCACCATGGGGGCTCTTGTTCCTTCTCTTGCCAGCAGGAGAGATCCAGAGTGAAGGGGAAGGGGTTCAAGTGAATCACAGGTGTTTATCTCTGCACACATTCCTGCTCCTCCCTCCAGGGGGACTTGAAAGATCTATACACAAATCCCCCTGAGAGCCCCCCTAAAACAAAACTCCTATTCCCACTGCATCTACCTTCCCTCTGCGCCTAAGGGTCTCTGCCTCCAGTCACTGTCTGACTCACTTGGATGCAGATTTCTCTGAACAAAAAAATGTCCCCACCGAAGCCCTAGCTTTGGAAGAATGGGACTACAAAGGTACCGACTCCAGGGTTTATGTGCAGTTTGTGCCATCACTCACTTTGAGGTGTGGGGACTCAAAAGTATGACAGATAAATGACATGCAAGAATCCCCCCCATATCCTTGTGTTGGGAAAGAGAATGCCCCTGCGCCCAGCCCATCAGAAGTATGGACCGAGCTACTGAAATGTTAATTTGCCAAATTGGTGGCATTTCGTCTGAATCACTGGATGATGGGATAATCTAGACATTAGATAACAAGACATGCATATCAACTATGCTAATGAGGCTAATCAGCCTTAGGAAGGCCTGGGAACCCAGGGTCACATCTTGAACACAGGCTGTCCTAGAGATGGGGGAGGGGGGAGGGTTGGGGGAGGGGGTGATGCAGGATGGAAACATCTCCTGCTTGACGAATCCCAGAAAGAGCTGTGAGTGCTCTGCAGGCCAGGCCCTGAGCGCGAGTGGGGGTTTCTCTAGAACACCAAGAGCCCTTGGAGCCCTCCAGGGACTAGCGGAGCAGCAGGTAGGGGGACCCACTTCACCATCTCTCATCCAGCAGCTCTGAGTGGAAACTGAGCCCCCACCTTCCCTGCAGGCTGCCTTCTTCCCTGGAGGCCAGTGTTCTAGAAGCTGCTAGCTGAAAAGAAGGGCAGGAGTGAAAGACAGAACCTTCTAGACAAGTCCACATCTGCGTGTCAGGAGTGGATCTGGAAGAGACTCAGGTGGCCCTTTGCAAAGATTCCTTAATGTTGCATAGTAGTTTGGGGCCTGGAAATAGTAGGAGAGTGGCCAAGCTGAGCATGCAGCCGGCCCAGGTGGGCTCCCTGAGCATCTACAGGTGTGGTTGTGGAGGCTTCGAGCATTTCCAGGGCAACTTGAGTTTCACCAGCATCACAGGCCTGATTATCCCAGCATCACAGGCCGGAGTATTCCAGCATCACAGGCCTGAGTATCCCAGCATCACAGGCTTGAGTATCCCAGTATCACAGGCCTGAGTA